GAGGACATCTGTAATACTTCCAACAATAAATATACATTTTTTTTAAAAAGGAAAATTACTTTGACATTCCAAAGATATGTTATCTTAGATGCAAAAAGATAATAGGCTCAATTAAGGTAAAGATTGACTGTTTGACTTTTGTTAGGAAAAATACTGCTTTTGGACATGACTACCTGCCATGAATTGCTTTTAGTTTAAAAAAATTTTCATTTCAGAGCATCCTATGTGGTTACTTTAGGTGTCTGAGTTTGTAAGGCCTCTCCTGAGCTTGTCAGGTTTAGTATATGGTTCCTCTCATCCACCCCAGTCAAAACGTAAGGGACAAATAGAAGGTACTATTCCAGCCACAGGAGTGCCTTGGTATAACAGCCTGAAATCGATATAGAGCCCTTCTCCTGTCAAGTCTTTGTCTCTGTGAAGGGCGTCATAGCATTTTGCCCCAACTTCTTTGTCCTAAAGCTCTGTCCCTGGCTGTCCCAGAGAGACTGATAAGCCGGTGGTTCCAAGTGCAGGAGGGAAAGAGCTGGGGGGAGGGAGGAGTTCCTGGAGGTTCCAGAGAGGTCTCCTGCCAGACAAGCTGTGAAAGTCAGGATGCCCCGGACTCATAGGCTTATTTCTCAGAGCTGAGGTCCTGGCCGAGGCTTCCTTACTTTGTGAGCAGGAAGGTTATGTAATGAACACAAAGGGCCGTGGCTCTCCTCAGAGCTGTCCTGGGGACCCAGCCATCCTGAGGCCTTGGGCAAGGAGGCGTGGAGTGTTCACACACAACCACCAGCTTTGGGTAGTTAGGGGTCCGTCCTTCCTGTCATGAGATAATTTGTTTATTCATCCAGCAAGTATGAGGGCGTGTGAGTGAGTGGTGGCAGTCGAGGGAACCCAGTGGCTGTCTGGGCTGGGTTCCCAGGAAAGGCTTTAGAAGGAGGTGGCGCTGATGGGTCTTCCCTGAGGAGTGAGCAACATGGGGCATTACTGGCTTGCAAGGTCCACCTCCATTGTGCCTTCCAGCATCTCCTGCATTACTGGCTTGCAAGGTCCACCTCCATTGTGCCTTCCAGCATCTCCTGCATCGTAGGCCTAAGATCGTTGTTCAATGAAGTCCTGGCTGCTCTCCTGAACTCGGCCCTGCAGCACGCAGCCCTGGCTGCTGCCAGAGCGAGGGTGAGGATGGGGAGGGAAGGACCGGATTCCACTGTGCTGACCCCGGCATTGCTGACCTTCCTCACGAGGCTGAGGTTCAAGAAGTTCATTTTACCTACGATTTTAAGTAAAAACCAGCCACATCACCAGAGAACGGGTTAGAAATGCAAGTTCTCCGCCTTTACCCAAGACCTCCTGAGGATGGATGTGGCCGTCTGAGTTTGAGAAACAAGCTAGGGGACCAGCAGGCAGGTCCTCCCTTCAGGACATGTTGCAGTGGCTCAGATGATGGGAAGAATTGATGACTCAAAGTCATTCACTTCCTCCAGGTCCCCACTTACAGGTCTTGATTTATCCCGGGGTTGCACAGGACTAGTAGGGAACATCATTGCTTCGTGCTCCCGGACTGCTGCCAGCAAGTGCTCCTTTCAAGCAGGTGATATGTTTCCTCCCCCAGAGCCACGCTTCCCGGTGGAGAATGAAATGCTTCTCCTCGGTGCTTTCTGAGCTGGCGCAGGATGAAGTTTGAAGGTGGCATGAGTTAGGCCACTCCACGCAGGAAGAATTTTAGGATTCTCCTGATACAATTTGAGAAACCTCCTGCAGGTCTTCTGATTTGTTTGGTCACTGTTCCTATTTTTGGTATTTATAGTTATGCTCATAATGGCTGTAATCCATCCTATGCCATGCACAAAAATTAAAAGATAAATCTGGTTCTCCTAGGAGTTGAGAAGGGAACCATCAGTAATGGTAAAGAGAGAAATTGCTAGGAGCTGAAATTCCATCTGGGGCCCCAGAAGAAGCTGGGCGGATTGCCAGAAACTGTAGAAGAAAGAGAAGGGTCTTGTAGCCCTAATAATACACTAGAAAGGCTGTAGATCATTAGCATAGCCTAATACTTTTTCAGTCTATTAACCAGTGCAAATAATGAAGTGAGCTATTTCTTTTGGCTAAATAATGAGACAGGAAAACTGATTAAAATGATAATTTCTGTTTGCTGTGCATGAATTAGTAATTAGGCAAAGCTCTTAACAAGGAAAAAGCTCCCTGTTTTTTGTTTGTTTGTTTCATTATTCTCCCCATATTTTGGAATAAATTATTTTCCCTCCTCAAGAAATACTCCCCAAGAAACTTTATTGCCTTCGGCATCAACCCTGAATGAGAAACAAAAACAAATGAACCCTTTCTTGAGATGCTACCAATGGGAGAAGGAAGGGGTGATGTTTTGACGTTGACCTGTGAAGGCTTGTGAAATGCCACAGACTCCCTCAAATTCATCAAGTCTTAAAAGCTGTTTAATACCTTGAAGCTATAAACTGCTTGATTTGGGCCAACTCCAGGTTTTCACAGGTTTGAGCTCATTTTTTTTTAAAAATTCAGGTGGTGAAGGAAATCTGCATAATACAGATATTTTTCTTGTTTTGAAGCCTCTTTGGTTTGAAGCCAAGAAGATAAAGAGATTCCAGGGGTCACAGTTCTTATGCTGACAATGGGATGTAGTGTCTGATGATATTGGATCAGACTCCACACATATCAACCCTAATCTGAGAACGTTGGCGCTGTCATTTCCCCCCACATGTCTATCCAAATAGTCAATTGCAAGCCAGGTAACAGAGATGCCATAGGTAGACAACCTAGATACAGTCGGCCTCATTTTCACACCCACAGACCTGCCTCTTGAACATAGTTTCCTTTTATTGCTTATATTCAAGGGGGTGGATGACCTGTCTCTCGCTGCTTTGTAATCTTGACCCTTGAAGGCCAGAGACCAAAGTAGTAAAGCAAGTAGGGGGAGTCATTCATTTTTAAGACATTTTAGAGATGCTACTTTTAAAGCTGAGAAACATTTAAAGATAAAAAGGGATGCTCTCTGCACAGTCCCAAATCCTAGGCTTTCGCTAGTGACAGCAAAGGTCCTTCTCAAAGTGAAAGCCTTGCGATAGGATCTATGCCAGTTGCATGGCCTGGGCTCCGCTGGCTGCAGAGCTCTGTGACCGGCCCCCTGTGACCCCGGCTCGGGAACACAGAGATGGAGGTGTTGCCCAGGCTCCCTCTGTGCTGAGCCCAGTGCCCCCTTAATTACCCTGTGCTGTTTGGTTACAGGTCGTGGCTATCGATGTGGACATGGCTTTTTTTGAACCTAAAATGAGGGAAATTCTCGAGCAGAATTGCACGGGAGATGAAGACTGCAATTTCTTTGATTGTTTCTCAAAGTGCGATCTCAGAGTCAACAAGTGTGGCGCGCAGAGAGTCAACAGCAACCTGCAGGTAAGCAGCAGCAAGACCACTCTCTGGAGCACCCCGCCCTGTGCCCCCAGGGCCTGATGTGTGTTGTGAGGGGGCGATGGTGGGAGGCGGTAGTCATTCATTCTTTGTTGTCTGCCCCATTAAGTTGTTGGCCATGAGGTCCAACGGATACAGCTCCCAGCAAAGTCAGCCTGGTCTGGTTCCCTGCACACACACACCGCCCCCGCTCCGCCCCTCTCCTCCCTCCCCCTCCCCCCCCCACATTCAGAATGATTACTAAGAATAAAAAGAATGCAAAGCCATTCTGAGAAACTGTCCAAATTAGAGAGGTTGGACAGACACCACAATCCTGATAGGCATGTGTTAGGGCCAGCAGGTGGGTAATAGAAGGAGAGAGAATGTGTCCCAAGTCCAGGAATCAGTGATAAATAAATAGGAAGGATGCTGGGTCCAGGCTCTCAGATAGGGTCTAGAGTCCGGGAGGTCCCCAAAGCAGGGCTCCAGACCCCATCAGTGGGAACACTCTCTCTTCTTTGGGCAGAAGTTATCTGCCCTCAGCCCTCCCCTGAGGCTCTCAGGTGGGCGTGGCTGAGCCTGAGCTCATAGGTGTTGATTGTAACCAGGAAGAGCCCCTGGCTGAGAAGCTGGGCCCACCACCTGGTTGCCTGTGTTCCATCATGTCTGTGCCCTTGCCTCACCTCCACTTTCCTGCTTTCTTATTCACTTATCCAACCCACTACCCCACTCACTTTTCTGTAGCTGTTCTTCCCTACCGTCCTCCAACCCGAAAGGCCAGTGTGCCCGAATGCAGGATGCAGACCTGGCGATGTGGGCTTGGGCCAGAGCAGGCCAGAGGTTGGTGCTGCGTCAGGCAACAAAGGAGGACTGTTCTGGGAGACCTGGCAGTGGTTGTGAATCTGGAATTCCTGGACCAGGCCAGACAAAAGCTCTGGGTGGGAAGCCTGCAGCAGTGATGTGGCCTCCAGAGGCCTCTTCTCCGCCCCAGCCTCTAGCTTCATGTGCACGCACACCCTAGGCGGGTCTGCAGGGAAAGCCTCTGCTTCAGTGGCGGGAACAAATGATTGGCACTACAACAGCAACCACCTGCCCTTTGCCCATAATGAGAGACTAATACAGGCGGGGCAAAAGCAGGTTTATGGTTGTTCCTACCGAAAATATACAATTCCTAATAAATAATAATGCAAGAATAAATCCTGTGTTTTGTGTACTCACAACTGTAAACCTTCTTTTGTCCCACCTCATATATAAAGGGCTCTTAGAGATCTATCGAGGCAAGTGGTGATCCTTATCCCTTAGCCTCTGAAGCTCCAAGAGTATCCCCAGGATTGTCCCTGCCCAGCAGAGCTTCTTTGGCACATCCCTGGGGCAGTGTCCTGTGATTGGTCAGTGGTGGTGGGGCATTTGCAAAGCACAGTGTGGAAGTGTGGTCCCCAAGGATGCCCCTCAATAAATCTCCGCGTGCAAACCTCCCTCTTAGAGCCCACTCCACAGGAAACCAACCTAAGCAAGGGGCAAAGGTCCTTATAATATAAAGAACATCTACAAATTAATATGAAAAAGTTCAACACCTGGTGGAAAAGTGGGCAAAGGATATCAACTTGACCATTCACTGGAAGGGAAGCAGAAATAGCTTTCAACCTGATGGATAAGAAATGCAAATGAAACCTTCTCACCCATGAGCTGGCAAAAATGAAAGATAACACACGTGCTGGCGAGGGCATGGGGCAGAGGAGCATTCTCATTGCACACTGCTGTGCGTGTGTAACTTAGTACAACTTTTATGGGGGTCAGTTTGGCAAGATGTATCAAAAGAAAAAATGCACATACTCCTTGGCCCAGAAATCTCATTTCTAGAAATTTAATCACTCACAAAAGTGACATATATGCAAGGTATTTATTTCAGTATTGTTCATAATAGCAAAAGTTAGTAAACAACCTACATTTCCATCATGGATAACTAATTAAGTAATTTATGATACATCCACAAGTTTAAGAGACAGCCATTGAAACTAATGGTATCCTATATAATAAAGAGCTAATTGCTAATTAGACCGGATGGCGGAACGACCTTCCAGAATGGCCTTCCAGACGACCTTCTGGAATGACCAGTGGGTGGGGCTTCAAGGCAGCAGCTGAGGCGGCCGAGGTTGCGAAGGCCTACTTTTGCACGAATTTCGTGCATCAGGCCTCTAGTATCCTTATATGAACAGATTTGGAAGGCTCTCCCTGATATTTGGTTAAGTGGGAATGGAAGCCATAAGACAGCGAGCATTATATACCGCCATTTATGGAAAGTAAAGGAGAAAGACTTGCACGCACAGGCTTGTGTGTGTGCATAGACTCTCTCGAGAAGGAGAGTCAAGGAGGGGGTCGTTTCTCAGAGCCAGAGCTCAGTGTCTGGCTGTTGGGACCGGGATGAAGACTAAGAGTGCAGTCTGTCTTTTGGGACATTGTACATTTTTGCACATGAAAATGTATTATCAATTCAAAAAAAGAAACAAGAGAGTGTTTTTTAAAAGAATCCTTGCCCTTGCAGGCACAGGGAGACAGAAGTTAAGTTATTTGTTTCTGTGAGACAGCAGCTCCGTAAAATGGAGGCATTTGTTAAATGAGGCTAATATAAAGCGTGATATAGAAAAAGGAAGCTGTGTTAATTATGCTGCTCCTAGTCCAGTTCTCCCAGTAGAGAGGAAACAGAAAGCTGTGCAACACACAGAAGGTGTAAACTGAGAATGCAAAGAGAGCTCCAGCATCAGTGAATTCCATACCTGGTTAGAATGAATGGCCGAAAGATAATGGCTCAAACTAAACCACCTTAAAGGCTCCTAAAAAGACCCTTACCACCTTTCTCCCCTGAGCCTCAAGGTGCTATCACATGTGCATACTACTTCTCACCAACATGTCATTGGACCCTCAGGACACCCTGTCCTGGTTATCACTGTTACTGTACCAATTTATGGCTAAGAATGCCCAACCTCAGCAATGTGGTGATAGAGGGGAGGACAACTATTCTCAGGTCCTCCGTGGGGCTGCTCCTTACGCAGCAGTTACTGCCTGTGACTTCCTGCTCCCTTCATCTTTGGAAATGTACTCTGCTCTGAGGCCAGAAGTGGAATTTTCTATCTGATATGAGGTAGCCTTCTCCCTGATGCAAAGTTTATTCGTGAGGCTGAGTGTTTAATTTCCAGAAGGGAAGGTACCTACTGGAGTCTGCAAGACCCTCCCCAAAGGCCCTTGGGGGTGTGGGAGCAGAGCTGAGGTCTATGGAAGGACCACTTGCGGGCTCCGGGCTCTCAAGGGGATGCGCTCCCCAAATGAATGTCTCCCTGTCCTTCCCCTCAGGTCGTCTGTGACAAAATATTCCGACACTGGTTCTCCTCGACTCTCCAGAGCTCTGCCATTTCCTTCCAGCTCCAGCGGCAGTTGCGGGAGGCCGTGCAGGAGTGCGCAGACCCAGGCGGCCCCCAGAGAGCAGCCCCCACCATGTTCTGGAGGCTTCAGCGCCTCCTCCAAGCTGCGCTGAGGGAACTGCGGGAGGCGGAGAAGTAGCCACAGCGGCCTCTCAAATGCTCGCTCAGGAGAGGTGACCTCTGCGTGGCTTTAAAGAGGAGACATTGTCACTGTGCAAATGATGGTCTCTGAGATACTGCGGCCTCCCAAAGAGCAAGGTCACCTAACGCCGTCTCCGTCGTGCGCCCACCGTTGTGGCGTGCGTGTCCTTCTGTCCTGTCTTGTCCTGGCTTGATTCCTTGTTTGGAGAGACCACCCTGGCCTCTGATCGTCACTCCTTGGAAGGTGACATGAGGGAGGTGGGCACAGAGCTTTTAGCTGTTGGAGGGCCCTCCCTCTGAAGCAGCACAAATGCCAACGTGCAATTGCTCTCGAGAAAGTGCTCATACTCAGCACAGACGTTTCCAGCTGTTCTCGCTGCAAATGGTTGTTGGGTAAAAAAGTGCACATGTGTACATAGGTGTGTGTACGTGTGTGTGTGCACACATGTGAGCACACATGCCTAAGTGAGCAGGTGAGTGTAGGCAGGTGAGAGTGAACAGGTGAGTGTGTGAGGTGTGTGTGAGAGCGGGTGAGGTGTGTGTGCTGTGCGATGGGGGAAGGTGATTTCTCCAATGTGTCCTGAGGGACCACTGGCCCAGCTAGCCAAGAAAGTCTCCTTTCCTTTGGAATTAAACACAGTAAAAACAACAGTTGCCTTGTTAGGCAGTGCGGTTTGTGTTGGAGAGTGTGTGAGGGACACCTTGTGCTGGTATTGGTTGTGAGGGCCCCGTGGACACTGTGGGCTGTGTTTTGGGGAGCACCATGCCCCTTAGTGCAGTCCGTCCTCCCGGGGAGCCGCTTGTGCAGTGACAAACCCCACACTGTTTGTCTGTGCCTTGCCCACCCTTTCGGATCCAGGCAAAGGGGGACAGCCTGCTTGTGCTGCTTGCACACATTTTCCTGGGTCGGCACCTCGGCTGGCCCTGTGTGGTGACAGCTGAGGCGGAGAACAATCTCAGGCCCAGCAGCTCTAAGTTCCGTGGCTCCTGAGCGGTGCCTGAAGGCCCGCGGTCACCTGCTAGTCGGCTTATCACCCCCCTGCACTGTCTCACTTGAATGACGTTCCTAAAGGGCCCCTCTCATCATAAGCATGAAGGCCTCTCTCTGCATCGGTACTCCCTGCAGGAAGCAAGACTCCTGGCCATCACTTTGTGGCAGAAAAAAAGAACACTAACAGTTGATTCCAAAGAGAAGAGAATGGCCTTTGCCTGGGAGCGGAAGCGAGGCTCTGCGGTGCTGGGCGTCTCAGTGAACCACAGCCTTCTGGTCGGGTTCTCTGTGAGCCAAAGGTTTCCATGCGCATGGTGTGCAGCCGAGGGCGAGGAGGGAGGGGCAGCGGCTTCGGGGCCTGTTGGCTTTGGCACTGTGAGGGCGGTGGGTCTCAGGTGGGTTGACCAGGTTGAGAGCCGCCCTTAGTGCTGGCCCGGAGCTCCCTGGCCAGGCAGGAGGTCTGGCCCCGGAAAGGGCAGAGGTTTGTTCTCATTTCGACCCGAATGGAAACAGATGTTTTTGTTTATCATGGAAACTATGCAATATATACTTACCCAACACAATAGTGTTTTTATTGCTGAAAAGGAGCAGTTTTATCCCTTTCCCCTTGCGTTTGACCTCTCTTTTCCCCCCTCCCCTCTCTGTCTCACACACACACACACACACACACACACACTCATGCGCCCTTTTCCCATCCTGTCTGCACAACTGCATTTACAGCAGTGTTTCTTGAACTATCCGTGGTAAAGTTCCGCTTTTATTTTTTGATTTTTTTGTTTTTAATTTTCAATCCCTTGCAAAATAAAACTTTTATATGATACAATAAACAAACACGGTTGTATCAGTATTTAATATTGTTAAACACGTTAGAGTGTTTCTTGCTTATCTGATGAGCAGCCACCCTCCCAGTTGGGGCAAGTATCAGCCTAAGTGATTTCTATATTTTGTTATGAAAACACACACAGTAGACAGAACACGGTCAGAGAAAGTCCTTGGGAGTCGGGGGCTTATAAAGTGGGTTCAGCAAGCACAGGCTATGGCTTTTCCAGTTGCATCCGAGTTACAGTCAGCAGTGCTGACTTCATCTCCACTCCCCGGAGATGATAATTTTCACAATGTATCTTGATACGTTGTAGTTAACATCACCTTGTGATGAAGCCATTCAGATCACATGCCCCACTGGGTTATAGATGACAGACATCAACTGCACAGAAACCGTGGGCAGCTCGGGCCACGTGCCCCTGACCTCGTGCTTCCTGAACGGCTCGGTACCCTGGAGGGGTGGACGTCCTGGCAGGGCCATGTGGCTGCATCTAACCCTCCTTTCTCACCTCCTCACGGCTGAGCAGCAAGCCGCTGCATCTGAACAAGATTGGTCAATTCAGAGAACCATGGGCAGAGTTTCTCTCTCCACAGTGGTCCCAGACCGCTGCTTCGGAATCACCTGGAATCTTCTTCTAAATGCAGATTAGAATCAGGGTCTGTGGGGCTGAGGCTGCCCCCACCCTGAGATTTTTGATGCACCCCAACGTTTGAGAACACTGCTCCCTAGGCCTGGCCCAGTCCTTCTTCATTCTGGAGACCATCCCTGGGTGATCCAGGCTGGCCTTGGGCTGGGGGGTGACATCCCCAGCTAGTCTTTCCTCAAGCATGCTCCCTAGGTTAGGGACATTTAGTCAGGTTTTTTTTTTTTTTGAGAAAAGATCATCTTTAAATAGAGCAATGGCTTTCCAACCAGTCACTTTTGGGTAATAGACCTGGAGGCATGAATTCCATTCTTACAGCTTCTATTCCTTCTCTTACTTCCCATCACGTGTCAGCGTCCCTGCTCACCAAACTCCCAGGTGCAAGTGCCAGTTGACTCTGACCCCCTCCTTGGGCCAGGGGCCTGGGAACCCACCGCCGGTCCTGGAGCACTTCTCCGCCCCGAGTCTAGCTGCCTGTCTCTGCAGAGCAAGTGCCAATTTGTCCTCATTTAGTTGGGAAGCGCCCCTCCCCCAGCTCCTTGCTCCCTGCCCCTCCCAGTCCTAAGAGGTCACCCGTGGCTCACGGCAGAGACAGAAAACCTGTCTCAGTAAAGTGTGTGAAAGGTCACTGGGCAACTCCACTGAGATCATCCCAACTCTCCTGCTCTCTCCCCACTGCATCGCCAGCCTCGGGGTACCCGACCAAGCCCCTGCCGCGGGGCCTCAGAGCGCAAGCACATTTACCAGCTGTCACATTCAAAACACAGCCAACGGGAGAGCATTACGTTCCAATCGCTGGAGAGGGGTTTTCTGATGGACGTTTCAGCTCCACTTTCCATCGGCGTGCCCTCCTTTCCACCCTTGGGTCAGGTCTTCCGGTGATGAGGTCCCGAAACTCAGAGCCCCTCCTGGCCTTCTGAGCCGGGCACAGCTGCGGGTGTTGAAGAAATGACTGTGTACCTGGAGAGGACCTGGCTGGCCCTCGGCTGGGGGCCAGGCCTTCCAGGCACCACACCCATTTGCAGGTGTTTGAAAGGGCTCCTGGGCTCAGAGTCAGCCGGCCCCCTGGAGGCACCATGTGAGTCCCCAGCCTCCCCTCTCAGACTCTCAGCTTTTCAAACCTTCCTTCTTTGCTACAGCTTTTCCGCTCTGTAGTCCCTTTTCCTTTTATCCTCCCCAACCTCCTTTGAAGGCTGGAGATGAGACTGGAGGGTGCAGTCTAAGAAGTTGTGTAATTTTGAGGGAGCCACAAAATTCTCTAAATTCGTGCTTTTAGTCGATGCCTCTCCCCACTGTGAACACTCCTGCTTAACTTCTCTTGCTGCATTCTTTATTCTGCTTCTTTCTCTGAAAATATTTGGCTGAGTCACGTGCAAGGGGAGCCTTCTCCAAATCCCATGGTGATTCCGACAGAGACCAGGAGGGGTCCCGTGGAGTTTGGGGGGAGGGAACTGTGGAGGCGCCACCACAAGCGGCCTCCTCTGTGTGGTGGGCGGTGGCCGAGTGTGTCCCCCGTGGGGAGTGACACCCTAGGGCAGTGATGGCGAACCTTTTGAGCTCGGCGTGTCAGCATTTTGAAAAACCCTAACTTAACTCTGATGCCATGACACATATAGAAATTTTTTGATATTTGCAACCATAGTAAAACAAAGACATATTTTTGATATTTATTTTATATATGTAAATGCCATTTAACAAAGAAAAATCAACCAAAAAAATGACTTCAGAGGTGACACGCGTGTCATAGGTTCGCCATCACTGCTCTAGGGCGTAGTGTTTCTCACAGTCACTGCTGGAGCCGCACTGCCTGCAACAGCTGGGGGCTGATGGGCCTCCAGGGCCTCTCCTGTCCTGGAGCATCTTGTTCCGAGTGTCCTAGGCTCTCAGTTCTGGGAAAACAAACTGCGAAGCTTTCAAGAGCAATTCAGATTTATTGTGTTTCTTGAACAGAGGTTTTGTGGAGCTCCGTGCCCTTGGGGCCAGGCCTCACACCCACAGGGTTCTCTACAAAGGGCCAATTTCTACAGGCAAATGAGAGGGAAAAGACCAAGAACAGGAAGAAATGTAGCTTGTTCTTGAAAAGCAAATGCAGTCCATTTTTGTCCGTGAGGTAAAATACATACAACATAAAATTGACCGTTTTTAAGTGAACAATTCAGTGGCATTAAATACATTCACAATGTTGTGCAACCATCACCACCATTCATCTCCAGAGCTTTTCATCTTCCCAAACTGAAGCTCTGTCCCCGTTAAACATGAACTCCCTCCTCCCCAGCCCCTGGCACCCACCTTTCTGCTCTCTGTTTCTGTGAATTTGACTCCTGTAGGTCCTCACATAAGTGGAATCCTACAGTATCTGTCCTTCTGTGTCCGGCTCATTTCACGGAGCATAATGTTCTCGAGGCTCACCCACGGTGTATGTAGTATAGACCAGAATGTCATTCCTTTTTTATGGCAGAATAGATTTGGATTGTGTGGACACACCACTGCCCTATGGAGTATCGGTTTCAATTGGATCATAGCTCACTTTGCCAGGTTTGG